GGGGACACGATGCCAACGTGTTCATCGCCCACATGGCTCATGCGCTGTTGGAGAAGGAGGGGTGGAAGGGTCGGGGGTTCAGTCATGTGTCTGAATGGATTCGCTCTCGCTTGTCTATCGCCCTCGCGCGTGCGACTAGCTTCTGTCTGCGTGGGGGAGGGAGGGGAGGGTTTGCGGGACTGGGGTGTGCTGATGGGGCGGGGATTGATCCCTCCTCCCCTTGAGCCTGTTTGAGTCTGCGTGCTGATGGGACTGTATTTGTATGAGTATCACGGACACACAGACGAGTGTTACGGTTAATGACAGTTTCCACTGTGCTGCCGAAAAATGCGAAAGGCTTCACGGCCAGAGCGCATCATCAAATGACATTTAATGCAGAGGGATTTTTGAGAACGTCTCGATGGCTTGACGCGATTTCGACGGGGACGTTGAGTTGTGCATCCACACTACACCGAGAAGACGATGGCTGATCTTTTGTGCATGTGCAGCGCTCGCCAGCCTGATCATGCTGCACCCAGGGGTTCGCCTTGATGCGTTTCGATCGAAGAAAGAAATACGTCCTCCAATACATCCATCCATCCATCCATCCATTCATCAGTATACTTGCTGCTGTGTGTCTGTTTATCGCACTCTGATGGATGGATGGATGGATGGAGGCCTTTAATGCCTGCATTGCATGCCAAAGCGTTTTAGAAACCCCGGTCTGGTTGGCCTCAGTGTGTGTGTGTGTGGTGAGATGAGGTGAGGTGAGATGAGATGAGGTTTGGATGGACTCAACCATGTCTACGTGATGTCTGTACGTTGGCGTCTCTGTCTGTCTGTCTGTCTGTCTGTCTGAGTGTGTGTGTCTTTGACTTTTTGCATCGATCAACCGGCGAATAGTTGACACATCGATGTGTGTCCATTCACACCGCGTCATCAATCAATCAGCTACGCAAGCTAAATGGCCATGAGCAAGTGGGGCAGTTGAGCGATCAGTACATTGGTCTCTGCCATTGGCACCGCGGCCGGGGGAAGCATCAAACAGCCGCTGTGCCATCTAGCTGTGCTCCAGCCTCCTTCTCTTGGCCTCCCTCTCCACACCCTCACCTGACACATGGAGGGATACATCACAGCCATGACATGACGCACACAACGAATGCATGTGTGTCGCCCTGATCTGGCTCATCCCCTGCCCCCATCTCTACCATAGCCATCCCCTCCACCCATCTCACCCTCTTCCTCCTGCTGCTGGCCGTCGCCGTCGCCGTCGCCATCCCCATCTGCACACACAACATATGCAAACGTACAAGTGAGCCCAGACACAAACACCGCCCCCCACTGACTCCTCACCCTCATCGCTATCGTCGTCATCGTCATCATCCTCGTCCGCACCCTCTTCTGCACAAACCACACACCGATTCATCCAGCCGACCTACCTAGATGGAGGCGGCCGCCTGCACACTCACCCTCATCGCTGTCGCCACTACCGCCCTCGCCATCGCCGTCGATGTCGCCATCCAGATCTGCACACTCAAGACACGCAAACATACAAGTGGGCCCAACCACACACACACACACACACACACACACACATGTATCCCACTCACTCTCATCGCTGTCGCCGTCATCCGCACCATCCTCTTCACACACACACACACACAAACATACCAGTAAGACACCTAGCAAGGCGGGCTGGACACACCACACACACCACTTACCCTCACCACTATCGCCATCGTCGTCATCCGCACCCTCATCTGCGCACCACCACACACACCGATCCATCCGACAGACACACCGAGATGGAGGCGGCGGGCTGCACACCGACCCTCATCGCTGTCGCCACTATCGTCCTCCTCCTGTCGGTTGACGACCATATCTGCAATGGTGCTGCCCAGCGGGCCGCCCACCAGAGGGGCGGTGGTGGGCCGGCGGTCCTTGAAGGCATCCGATGGATCACCCACTGGCGGCTCGATGGTGACGGCAGAAACACTCACTGCATTCAGCAGAACAACACACAGAAGAATGGCTTACTCAGCAGATAATCTGCCATCTTGTTCCCTCACCTAAGTCCGTGTCGGGGAAGATACACAGATCGATCCATGCGACGAATGGGCCGTTGAACGGCGTGAGAAACAGCCGCCGAAGCTCCACAGGGGAATGGCTACTGTCCACCGTACTCGCCACGACGGCCGTGCATCCGTTGAGGGGCTGGTGGGGCGACTGGTTGAGGAGGCCGTCCAGCACACCACCGTGGTCATGCCTGAGGAGACCAACACAGAACAGAGGGAAGAGGCCCTGATGGATCGATGTGTGTGTGCCTGAGTGTCGTGTGTCCGGCGTACCGGTCCACGGCAACACATGGAGTTCTGCCCCCATTCGCCACTGGAGGGCCCAGGATGGTCTCCATGATGAAGGCCGACGCCGAGGCATCAGTGGACACCTCATCACCGGCCGTCCAGCTGCCCCCCTGCGGGTGGATTGTGGATCGGACGGGCGGGTTGTCGTTGATGGCGTGTGTTTGGTATGGGTGGGTGGGGGGAGGGGCGGGTTGATGTCCAGCTCGAAGCCCGGCTCGTCCTTGAGGGCACGCACACCGCCGCCCGGCTGGTCGAACAGCTTAAAACGGCCCAACTCGCCGCCGAAGTTGACGTGTCTGCCGACCATCTTCCACAACGCAATCACACGCGCATCGGCCAAATACGCCTACACAGACACCATAGACAGACAGACAGACAGACAAACCGATGAGTGCCCCCCGCCCCGCCCCACGCTCATCTGCCCACCTGTTTGCTATCGTGACGCTGCATGTCGGCCACAGCCAGCGTTATCGGCAGCTGGCAGAAGCCCCTCCGCCGCGCGAAGCGCAGGCATTGGTCACCTCGGTCCACTGCTGCGTCTCCACCAGCCAGATGGCCTTCAACACGAGCTTGGTCTCCAGCTGCAAATCGAATGCGATGATGCCGTCGAGCTGTTTGGCCGCCAGGCAGCGCCCCAGCCGACTGCGGAGGACGGCAGCCGAGAAGTCTATGTGCGATAGGAAGGTGGCCGTGCATCTGAGTATGCCGATGTCCTTGAGGGTGTGGATGGCGTCCCGCCCCAGGCTGTGGATGAAATCGATTTGCTCTTCGCCTCTGGCCGGCGGGACGGCCTGCCGACTGCTGGATACTGTCACCAAACTCCCCATTCGATAAGGGCGGTCGCTCTTCTCCCCAAACCAAGGGTAGGGTTAGGGTGAAGGGTTGGGGTTTGTCCCCAAGAGTGCGAGCTTCCCGCGCGCCGGATGAATGAAATGCATCCAAAGGAGGGAAATTTAGTCACATGCAACCGGCTAGACAGAGAGCCACGTAGAGACGCAAACAGGTCGGCAAAACAGAGGAAATTGAGCAACATAGATTCATTGTCGTGTCTCTACGTGCACCCGGATCTGGGTGTCCCGGCAGGCAGACAGGCGGACAGGCAGGCACGGAGCACACACGCCTGATTGATTGATTGATTGATTGATTGATTGATACAAATATGGGTGCTGTCGCTCATCCATCCATCCACACAGACGTACATGCCATCCATGCCGTCAGTCGCACCAATGACAGTCACATACACACATTCACACCCATCGGGAAGAAAAAGCTGTAGACGAGCGATAGATAGTATCAAAATGCTATCTATATATTCTCGCAGCCAGCCACCTGATGAACTCATTATGTACACCCCCCCACACACGTGGCCGGGCCGCCGGCAAACCAAACTGCTGCTGCCTTCATTCATTTCATTCACTTGGCAAACCCGCCGTATATGACGGCGACCGACGCGGGGTCGATGTGGTAGTCGACACCCTCACCCTGGTCCAAACAGGACACACACATACACACCACATGACATCCACAGTGCACATCACATAATGCACATCACATGACGTGAATGCATTGAACGCATTGGAAGGTCTGCTGTTCCTGAAGTGAATGTGGCCTGGCCTGCGCTTAGCTTACGATGATGCGCTTCTGTAGTGTGAACCGCACCATGCCGCCATTCACTATCTTCTTGCGCTTCGCCACGTGGTCCACATCACCCTACACACAACCAACACAAGGAAGGAGTAATCACACACACGCCAATAGGCTTGCTTGGCTCGGGTCAGCTCACATGAGTACCTACCGGCATGTAGGCTCTGAAGAAGTGTCTGAACCACCCCGAATGCCCCCCAACAATCACCACCTCCGGCCCCCCGCTGGTGCCGCTGATGCCCTCCTCGCCATTCACCGATGGGCGGTAGGCAAACACCCACTCCGCGAATGACTGCAGCCGCTTCGTTACCCGCGATCTGATGGGCTTGTTGCCGTGGTTGAGGGATGCGTCGAGCCGGGTGAGGTAGAGGTTGCGCACGCCGAGTGCCTCCAGGGACGACTCGAGGAGGGAGGTGGGCGGGGCGTCGCCGGGGAAGGCCAACGAGATGCCATCGATGTTGCGCGTGTGCTCCTGAGAGAAGGGAGGGCAGGGGAGGGGGAGAAAGAGAGAGGTCTCTGAGGCGCCGCGCCCTGTGTTGCTCGAGTGGCGCAGGTACCTGCAGTGCAGAGTGTATGAGGATCTTCTCGTTTGACCGGCTGAGCCGCTCGCCGAAACTGATCAACGTCGTCGACAGCGCACGTCTGCATTGCATGCAACGAATGCACACACGGATGAGAGGGCCATCCATCCATCCATCAACGTACCAACCAACCGGCCTCCCTTCACCGTCCCCACCCACCTGAGATTCGACGCCACGAGCACCGATGGCGGCCCCCCGGTGCCCTTGAGTATGGGCACGATGGTCTCATCCAGTGCCAGGGGTGTCCAGCCGTCCACACCCGTCGCGGGCGACGCTGGCGTGCCGCCCTTGGTGAGGAAGTCCCTCACCTCACACGACTGTCTTATGCCGAGCTCGCTGAGTGGCGCGTCGACGAAGACCGAGTCGAGGTGGAAGCCCAGGATGAACTCGTAGTAGAGGGACGACAGCAGGCGGAACGGGAAGGACAGATTGAAGAAGCCACGGTTAAAACAATAGTTCCACTGAGACTCCCTGACAGATCGGATCGATGGACAACGCAACGCATACAATACAATAAGTGACCAACCAGGAGTGTGTTCCTGTTCCCGCCTCCTCTCTGGGTGTGTCTGCTGTGCACTGACTGTGTGGCCTGACTGACCCGTGTCGGAAGAATATCATCGTTTTGCTCTCCACCTTCTGCGGCTCTGCCGCGCCGTCCATGAGAGGCGCCACCTTCTTGGGCTTGCTCTTGCCCTCGGCCGACAGCAGCATGAAGGCTACGGCGTATGCTACATGGTAGGCCTTGAACAGGAACACCTGCAGCATCTGCCGCAGCACCTTGACGTACACCCGCAGCAGGGCGATGAAGCGGTTGAGGAATGACAGCGGGTGCTCTCCATGGTCCCTCTTGGTGTCGCCGCCCTTGAAGCCGCGGAAGGCGGGATCAGCGAAGAAGATGCTCATCGAGCTGAAGAAGAGGTACGCTGAGCCGCCAAGTAAGATCCACGAGAAGAGCGACAGCATCGTCGGGCAGGCACGGAATTGACGATAGATCAAAAGAAGCTTCCGAAGCACAGTCGCCGCACGCTTTGGCATGCACTAGCACGGCTCTCCTCACGCGGATCTGGGCCAGGCCGCCGTAACACAGCACATTCTGCCCTTCTTCTCCTCTCGGGCTCGCACCTCCGATCGCCGCGAGAAAAACCCCGCAACCTTTTCACCTTCTCCCTCTCCCCAATGTCAGCTGTGCCGATGCTGGCTGGTGCGGCTGCTCGGCGGGCCTCGACCAAGGTCAGCAACACGTGCAAGCAACCTCTCGGAAGTCGTGACACGATGTTGCTGCTTTGTGTTGTGTTTCAGGCATCGTATGTGTTCCGCTGCAGCCCCAAGGTAACGCAGAGACCCTCTTGGTGCCAACAGGCGACAGCACGCCGTCTTCCCACTCGTCCCATCTCTGTGTCCTGTTGATGTCAGGGTGCTCGTGGTTTCGCCACCGAAACGGCGCCTGCTGGCGGGAAGCCTGCCATCGAGTCGGCGGGGAAGCCGCAGAAGATCAAGCCGTGGGCGCCCGAGTCGCCGCTGCACTTCTACCAGGCGACCAAGTTCGCGACGGCGTCCATCAACCACCGGCTGTTCTACGTCAACTGGATCTTCATCATCTTCCTACTCGACGCCGGATACGTCATGATCGACGCATGAGCGAAGTGGTGACACTCAAGACGTGCTGGGACGAGATCTGTGTGTGCATCCCCGTGGGGGCATCACAGTGTGAATCAGTCAGTGGCTGCTTGTTTATCATGTTGCGTCTGTCGGCCACGAGTGCAGCGTGCCTTCTGTTGTTTTCGTGTGAGGCTCTTGGAGTGTCGCGGGGTGGTATGTCATAGCCAGGCAGTCTGTAAGGCCCTTCGCTACGGCTGGTGCAGGTCGTGGCGAAGCTCCTGACAGGAAGCCTGGCCATGACACATCACACACGACCGCAAGATCTCACGTTTTCCCTACTTGCGATCTGACTGACTCTCTTGTTCGGGACTCGCGAAACTTGCTGAGCGTGGCACGCTCTTACGAAACAAAGTGTTTGTCAATTCACATCCGCTCTCTCTCTACGGTGATGATGCCGATCGCGGCCCCAAACCTCTGTCCCCAGAGATTTCCCACAGATTTCCCTTCTCTCCGATCCCCTTTCATCCCGACCAGGACAGATGGAAGCTGAACCGGGAGGGGCAGCTCAGCTGGTGCCTGATGTGCCCGCTGGAGTGGGTGGGGAGCTTGCGGCAGACACAGAGAAGTCACCTCCAGACCTCTTCGGCCCCTTCACAATCTCACGTCTGGCCTGCAGCCTCAACCACTCCCTCGCCATCGCCCACCTGCCTCCCAACAGGCTCAGCAAAGGCGACAACCCGCGGCAGCTCTTTGGCTGGGGCCAAAACCCGCACAATGTCCTCGGCACGGGCATTCACAACACCCACCACGAGCTCCCCACGCGCATCGCCTCCTTCGCCGTCCACCCCTGCTTTGCCGTGGCGTGCGGCACCTACCACACGATGCTGCTTTGCAAGAAGGAGACGGACATTGGGGGCCGGGTGTATGCCTTCGGGCTGGGCAACAAGGGCCGCCTGGGGTTCCGCAAGCGGCGGGAGCAGCACCCTGAGGGCCTGGGCATCACGGGCCTGTGGGGCGTGGGAGACGACAAGTACTTTGGCGGGACGAGAGGCTACGAGGGAGAGGCAGAGCCTCCATGGTTCACACCCAAGCCCGTCAAGGTCCGCTTCCCGGAAGGCGTGATGGTCGCCCGCATCTCGTGTGGGAGCGACCACACCCTGGCAATCTCTGACGCGGGGTCCCTGTACGTGTGGGGCCTTGGCCGCTGGGGTGCATTGGGCACTGGCGACACAGAGGACGAATGGGCGCCAGTTCGCATTGGAGTGGGCGAGGGCGCAGAGTGGCGATGGCGACGGGGCAAGAAGGTGGCCGTGGGCGGGGAGAGAGTCGTGCACTGTGCTGGAGGGCCTAAGCACTCCCTGTGCGTCACTGAGGCAGGGGGTGTCTTCGCTTGGGGAACCGGAGACGACTTCAGGCTCGGCATGAACAACCTGCGGACCTACCTGCTGCCACAGAAGCTGTCGAATGACGTTTTGAAGGACCGTGCTATCGTCTATGTGGCGTGCGGGGAGGCCCACAGCGTATGCATTGACCGCAGTGGCAATGTCTTCACCTGGGGCAGTGGCGCATACGCGAGGCTGGGGCATGGCGATGAGGACGACGGTGTCTACCCGCGACTCGTGCAAGAGCTCAAGGGCATCCAGATCGTTCAAGTCGCCTGTGGTGCTTTCCACACTCTCGCCTTATCACGCCACGGCCAAGTTTACGCGTGGGGCTGTGGGCTCGGCATGGGCCTGCTAGAAGAATGTGACACGCGCAAGGTGATCCTGCCGAAGCGGGTGACGAGCTTCGCCGGCCCCGTGGCAGCCATTGCGAGTGGCTCCTACCACTCGATGGCCATCCTCCTCAACACTAACGACATTGTGTGTTGGGGTGCTGCCGGACAATATCGACTCGGGCAAGGCGACCATCTCAGCTATGTACGCACACATGCACGCAGGAGACACGGACGAAGACACACGTGTGTTTCTCCGAGTTGATGCTCTCTCAGGCCTATCCCCGGCCTCTTGGGGAGCTGCGCGGTACGGGCGACGTCAGTGAAGCGGCCCCATACATCGACCCCAACCCTCCACCGTTCTCCCTCCCAGGTGCGGAGGAGGCACCTGCAGCCGAGGCGCCCGAGGGCGAGGGGGAGGCGGAGGGGCCTGCCATGGAGCCGCTGCTGAAGCCCAAGCAGAAGTTGCTGTATCTGACGGCGGGGGACAAACACAACGCGGCGCTGACGAGCGATGGCAAGCTGTTCATGTGGGGAGGGGGGAAGGACGCACAGATGGGGCTGGGACCCTCCATCAGGCAGGTACATACAACAGACACATAGGCAGATAGGCCGACAGCTGAGTGTCATTTGTTCGTTTGTCCCTCGATCGATCAGAATTTTCCCGAGCCCTTTCATCTGGAAATCTTCTCGCGTCCGTTGGTTCGTGTGGCCTGCGGGGGCAGCCACACGCTGGCTGTCTCAGAGGCGGGCGACGTCTATGCTTGGGGGTCAGGCCGCGAAGGCCAGCTGGGCATCGGGGTGATCCGAGACGCATGGGACCCGGTGCTGATCTCCGGCCTCAAGAACGCCATCGACGTGGCTGCCGGGCTCGACTACTCTGCCGCCATTATACACGGCAACCCGGAGGAGCTGCATGCCGCTGCCGCGCCATCACAGGAAGGTGGCCCACCACAGCCACAGCAGCCAGCAGCAGCAGCAGCTGCAGGAGAGAGCTTTGCAAGCGGTGGTGCGGAGTGGCGGCTGTCAGGCGATTTGTATATGTGGGGAAGTGCCGACAGCGGCAAGCTGGACCTGGGGCTGGGTGTGTCGTCGGGGGTGGTGGTATTGCCGCAGAGAGTATGCGTGCCGGCGCCCGTGAGCAGCGTCGCCCTAGGTGAGCCGGTGTGTTGGTCAGAACCAGAAAGCCAGAAGGATGATCGATCAAGCTGTGTGCTGCTCAGGTCTGTGTCACACGCTTGCCGTGTGCCCCACTGGCGAGCTGTATGCATGGGGTGGGGGGTGGTTCGGCCGGTTAGGCATTGGAGAAATGACCAACGCGTTCACTCCTGTCAAAGTAAGAAATAGGCTCCTATTCTCCGACTGACAATCTCTCCTCTCTGCCTCTCTTCTAGGTTCATATTCCCCTCCGAGTGCGCATCAAGGCGGCCCACGTCGGCGATTTCCACTCGTGTGCCCTGTCGACTCGTGGGGACCTGTTTGTGTTCGGGCGCGACCGGTGGGTTTGCATGACAGAGCATGTGCTGAGCCCCATGGTGTTCCGCTACATCAAGGGCGATGCGGGTGAGGAGGCCGTCTTCGTCGGTGTGGCCGTGTACGGCGAACACACACTGGCCGCGACACAGGACGGCAGGGTGAGTGAGGCTGCCAGCGGGGGCACACTGCGAGAGGATGCATATCCTTTCTCTCTGTGTGTGTGTCAAGTGAGTGCAGTTGTGGGGGTGGGGCGACAACAGCAAAGGCCAGCTGGGCCTGGGCGGCCGCGCGCCCAAGTTCGTGTCGCCGCCCCAGTGCGTCAAGAGCCTCAAGGAGCCGATACAGGAGGTCGTCACGGGCAAGAAACACTCACTCGCCATCACCAGGCATGCCGGTCCACACAGCACCCGCCGTCCAGTCCATTGACATACTTTATATATCTGTGCGTGACGTGTTGTGTGTGTGTGTGATGTCTGCCTTCCACACACATACACAGGATGGGTGTGGTGTACGTGTGGGGCGATCCATCTGACGGTCGTCTGGGCATCGGCATCGAGCGAGGCAAGACGGTGACGTCGCCGCTGCAGCTGCATGAGACATTTGAAACAGAGGCAAAAGAGCCGTCGACCTCGCGCCGTCAGAAGAGAAACTCGACGACGTCCGTGAGTGAACGAATGATGGCACGCAGCTCCTTCGTGATTGTTCTTCTTCAGGGGTTGAAGCCTGACGAGCAGCTGGCTTGGGAAGGCCTGCAGAAGGGTGACGACAGCGTCACCTTTGTCGTCCTGCAGCGAATCGTCAAGAACGAGGCACCGGCGACTCGGCAGGAGCAGCTCTGTTGGTACCAGGAGGACCTCATCCGGCTGTATGCCGCACACCTGAGCACTCTATTCACGCTGGGCGAGGGCGAGGCACCGCTCACCAACCTGCACAATAAGATCGAATTTCAGCTCAATCGCAACCTGGGGCTGCTTAAGGGATGCCCTGAGGGAGATTTTCAGGCCAGGTGCGTGCGTGACAGCAAAGCAACCAGCGCACCTGTGTGTCCGCTTCAACCTTTGAGCTTCTCAGTCGGACGACGCCGCAAGAGCTGATTGAAAGCTTCACGTGTTCGACGTGAGGCAGCGTGCTTTCTGCCTAACATCTCATCACAGTGTCTCCATGTCTCTGTCTGTGTGCATTTGTTTGGAGCTGCTGTTCGCACTGCAGCAGCAGCCTCTCTATCTGACGCGTCTGGTGCAGACACTGACGCCAGAGGAAGACAACGACATGACAGCCGTCAGTCAACACATGATGCTCATCTCCAACTTCACACAAAAAGTGAGCCTCTCGAACGAAGCACCGACACAAACTCATTCGCTCACCGTGGGTGGCATCTTCTGTCACTCTTTGTCGGTGTGCAGCTGTATTTGGAGCTGGACACTTCCCGTGTGAACCATCTGTTCCTGGCCTTTCTGCGGCTGCTCGGCGAGCGGGAGATATCGGAGACAGGCGACCTGGACTTTCTTTTTGTGTCAGGTGAAGACACGTTGGCCACAGATGGATGCATTGGCTCTCTCGTCGATCGACGATCGATGTTGGTTCAGAGTATTCCCTCTTTATGGATTTGTTCACGTGGTACAACACCCACCCCGCAAACATTCCCCCGCTAATCGAACACATCGTCAACGTATTCAACCCAAAGTACGCACGATAGAAAATGCACGCACGCCGCACACATCCAGCTGCTGCTCATTGAGGCTGGCTTTGTGTGAAGCTCCCTGGCGGCGGTTCTGTCCCAGGAGTGTACAGAGCCCTTCCGCATCAATCCCACCAAATACGAAGGCAAGCCAATACACACACAGGACCTTCCCTGTCGTTGGTGTCTCTCCCACCGTCTCTTCTGCTGTCAGCCCCTCTGGCGCAAGACATGGCCGCGACGGCCCAGCGCTACTACGCCGAGCTGCAGTACTTCATGCAACACATGCCCAAGGCCTTCCTGCAGAGCGCCGCGGCTGCATGTTGGGGGTGGAAAAGCTCTGCGGGCCAGAGAGGTCTCGTGGCACTGATGCACGGGCTGGTGGTGCGCAAGTGGGAGAAGGTTCCCATGGTAGCCACTCAGGGGGTAAGCAGTGCAGTGTATGCACATCACATCGAGTCATGTCCGTGCCGTCTGTATGAACCGCAGGGTGCAGCGAGTGATTCCGAGCAGAAGCTGGCCATGGCACTGCCCATCCTCAGTGTCCTCTTCTTCGTATGGCGGCACCCTCCCTCTCCTTTTCATTTACTGAGCCGTGTGTCTCTTTTCTCAGTGCATGTGGAACCCTCTCCTGAAAGCCGACCGCGACCAGCTCCTCGGTGAGTGAGACGCCGACAGACACATATTAAGACGGTGAATTGATGGACGATGGACGTTGGTCTGCCATTAATCAGCTTCTTGCGGCTACCCCCATTTCGTGGAAGCGCTGCAAGTGCGTCTGGGCAGGGTGGCTGGCAGCCTGGAGGAGGTCTCCACTTTCATGGAGATGTTCGTCATGAAGGATTACAAGGTGGCGGTGCTGGCGCCCTACATTGCGCAGGCGACCACCGTTATCATCGACCCGCTGCTGACCTTTGTTGACGACTTCTGCTCGATGGAAGACACTCTCGACGTCGATGTGGGTGACCCGTAGGCAAAAAGCCAACCACACGCACGCAAGCACTTATCTCTCTCTGTGTGTGTTGTGTGGGATCTCTCTCCTGCAGCTCACTGTGGGCATTTATTTGTCGCATTACGACCTGAAGCGCCATTTCGTCACCATGGAGCCTGCACTGCTGGCGGGGATTGTCAATCTGCTGGCTCTGTATGAGGACCAAGTGGCCATCGCGGCATACGACAGGGTCTACCAGCTGGTGAGGGAGATAGCCGACGGCCGGGAGCCGCCCTTCTCGGCTGAGCTCCTGCAGCGGATTGAGATGGACGACACGGCATACAACTTCCAGATACACAGCAGATTCCTCCTCGAGTACAGACAAACGAAAGCATACCCTATCCACCCACACACACACATGCCTCTACATACATTCAACATTTTCTCTGTCGATCAATCAGGCACAAGAACCTGATGTTTTGCCCGGTCTCTCGCTGCCCGGTGCCACAACAGCTGGCTCCCCGGCAGCTCGCCTACACACACGTATGTTAGGCATGAACACCCTTGTGCTGTGTGCTGCAAACCACCGCCACATGTGTTTACCTGACCTGCAGGAAGGCAATGTGGTGGTCTCCCCGCTGCTGCGCTACGTCGCCCCTGACCCTCGCGAGCCCCGCGTGCTGTTTGTGCGGCTGCTGCTGGACCTGCCCGCAGTGGAGAGTTACCACCTGAACTTCGTGTCGTTTGCCAAGGAGCTGCAGTCGATGCGGCGGGTGGTGCTGAACCGACAGCCGCCCGACTACAACCTGGCCGAGCGGATCAGTGACATGATCGAACACCTGAAGCTCATGAGGGAGATTCCCGGTGCGGGTGAGGCGTATGCTCTGTGGCTGCTGGAGGACCTGAAGACCAGAAGAAAGTTCTACAACTACATGCAGAAAGTCAATGTAAGCCCGCACCACCAACCACGATCATTGCGTTACTCCCTCACTCCGTCCCTCCCTCCCTCCCTCCCTCCCTGTCTGCCTGTCTGTCTGGATGGATGGATGGATGGACGGGTACAGGCAGGTCTGGTGGCGATTCAGTCAGCCGAGGCGGCGTACCAAGCTCAGCTGCAGGAGGACACAGCGGCCGCCCACGAACTGCTGCAGCTGTCCATACACCCACACACAATGGTCGAGGGAGACATCCTCGACACAGCCGCGGTCGGTTGGCATGTCATACACCACTCCCCATCCCATCCATGCATTCTTGTCTTGTCCGTCCGTTGCCTTTGGTTTTGCGTGTGTGTGGCACTGCAACATACATGTAGGATGAGGAGGTGAGCATCAAGTTCATAGCTGTGCGCGGTGCCGAGAAGGCCCAGGAGGGCGAGGTTGCCATCACGCAAGACCCCACCATCACATGGGTGCGGCCGCCCTTCGCCGTATTCCCTTACCGAGCGCTGCATAAACAGGTCGACCATACAATGAATGCACTCACTGCACTCACTGCATGCCCACAGCTTGCGAGTACTACTTGTGTCTCCTCCCTGCTGTGTCTGTCTCGTGCTGTGCTGTGTGCAGACGGTGGTGCGGCTGCTTCCTGGTGAGAAGTTCGACTACAAGAAAGTCCGGCGGATATCGTTTGTGTTCAAGTGCACTAGCGCGGATAGCTGGTGCGTGCAGTGCATCCTGGGGGTGGGCCGTGTGCAGCAGACGCTACTCAAATTCTACATACTCCCAGACACGTGAGAGAGGGAGGCAGGGAGGGAGAGGGTGGAAATGAAGACACACATCATACGCCTGTCTGCCCGCATGCGGGGCGCGTGTGTGTGGGTGTGTGCGTGTCTTGTCTGGTCTGCAGGCTTCGTGAGCTGAAACGTGCCGGCAAGGCAGAGCGTACCTTTGCCGACGGGTACGTGGGTGAAATGGCATCATATGTCCTTTGTCTGTTCGCTATGGCTGGATGCGATGCGTGGGTGTATGTATGGATGCAGTGGTGTGACATTTGTGAGCCACCGGTTAGTCAAGCTGCTGGGCCAGAACTTGCGAGGAAGCGTCAAGAAGGCCGGCAAGTGAGTTGAGACGACTGAAGCTGTAGTGTGGCTGTGCTGTGCTGTGCTGTGTGTCGTCTGTCTGTGAGCACGTGTCTTGTTCGTCCATTTGGTAGACAGACCTGCTGGACCTCATCACTCGCTTTATATTGGTCTGACCGCATGTGATGTGCGCGTAGTAAGTAATTTGGGGACCACATATTATGTATCCACCCAATGACATGCAGACAGCAGGGTGGTACTCAAAAATGAAAGCGACGCCTTTCGGACTTATACAATGGCACTGAGGGAGGAGGCAGGAAGCAGGCAGAAAGTAACGAAACAACAGTGCATACGCAGCCGCCGCAAGAAAGGAGCGAGGCGTATGCAGTTTGTCTGTCAGCTACCGCCGGGCAGTTAACACATGTGTTTGCTTAGATGAGGCCTTCTTGCCACGAGCGCCCAGCCTACCCACTCAATTCGCCGTAGCAGAACAGCTGTGCGCTTTCCTTGCTCCAAGCACTGGGGTCGCCACTCTCACACTTCTCGTCAGCCTCGTCGGCAGGGATACACTCGCCGTAGTATGATTTCTAAATGCTATGACCTTCGTCATCAATTTCCTCGGTGATCAGGCAAATCTCGTCGCCGTCGCAAGCATCCACATCGTCCGGCTCGTCGTAGGTGAGTTTTTGCAAGGAGCAGGATTCACCTGCACAAACAGACGGTCACACATGACATGCACGCCCGTTTGGGTGTCGACTTGCGCACGTACCATGCTCGTTGGTCTTTCCGGCGGCGATGTGTGTGAGTGTGCGGTGGGCCTCAGCAGCAGCTTCAATTGCCGCTGCGGTCAGCTCGTGGGAGGCGGTGCTCATGTGGTGGGCGGCCGTGTTGAGCCTGTGGGCGGCGGCGGCGGTGTTTGCGGCGTGGTCCAGGTGAACTTGCACCAGTGACAACTCCGAAGCGAACTGGCCGCCTGGCAGCAGAAAGGCACACAGGTGCTTTCTCTGCCATGAATGGGCACAAAAGTATAGTACCTTGGCCGATGTGAGTGCGCCCGTTCAGCAGTTGGTCGTCCGGCCACATGGACGAGTCCGCACCTGCACACACCAAACACAAGAAATCCATTAAGCCATGCACCTACTAGTACCCTTGGGCAGATCTGCCATGGTGTACGGTCGATTCGGTGTGTGTGTGTCCCCCCTGTGGCTTACGTCCGCCATAGTAGCTATTGCGCTGGGCTGCCACAATGGCGGCCAGGCCGACCACGAGGATGAAACCGAGGCCGAAACGACGCATCATCGCGGCTCAGCAAACGTCGCAGACGATGGGTCACTCGACGGCTAAACCAACCTCCTTATCGAGAGAGAGATTTCGCCGGAACACGCATGCATCTTGATTTACGCACAATCACATTCCAACGTCCCAGATCGCGAGAAAAGGGTGCTCCCGTCGTTTCGGAAGACGCGTTAACCGTTCGCGCCGCGTCTTCCGTGTCAAAATACACCCGCTGCGATGACGATGCGGATCGGCCACGGCTACAGGCATCCCGGCCGTAAACTGTGGCTCGTGGGGAGATGTGTTGATGTTTTCTCAAGTTGAGAGGCGCGTTGCAGTTCGCACAGGTTGAGCCTGCGGTGTGTGTGTGTGTGTGTGTGTGTGAGGATGTGATTGTCGGCTGAAGGGGTGCATTGCGTGTGTGTGGTGTGAGTGAAGGGTGAGGCGAAGCATTTGGACGTGACTATGAACTGAATCGACACACGAGCCACACAACACACTCAGTCAGCCATGCATGTATGTAAGTATGTGACAGTACAAAGTGTGAGTTGTACGTACAGCATTCACACAAAACCGGCCATCGATTCTATTTGCTTGATCTGGTCGATTGGGCTGCTCTGTGTGTAGTCGATCAACCTACATACATCACATCCATCACGCACACAATGAGTGCGTGTATGTCGCCCCGATCTGGCTCCTCCTCTGCCCCCATCTCACCCTCTTCCTCCTCCTCCTGCTGCTGCTGGCCATCGCCCTCGCCCTCGCCCTCGCCGTCGCCCTCTCCGTCGATATCGCAATCCAGATCTGCACACTCAAGACACGTAAACATACAAGTGGGCCCAACCACACACACACACACACACATGTATTCCACTCACCCTCATCGCTGTCGCCGTCATCCGCACTGTCATCATCATCCTCTGCACACACATACATACATACGAGTAAGACACCTAGCAAGGCGGGCTGGGCACCCCACACACACCACTTACCCTCACCACTGTCGCCATCGCCGTCATCCGCACCCTCATCTGCGCACCACCACACACACACACTCATCCGACCGACAGACCGAGGTGGAGGCGGCCGGCTGCACACTCACCCTCATCAGCGACTTTCTCCTGTCGGTTGACCACCATGTCTGCGATGGTGCTGCCCAGCGGGCCGCGCATCAGAGGGGCGGTGGTCGGCCGGCGGTCCTTGAAGGCAGCCGATGCATCACCCACTGGCGGCTCGGTGGTGAGGGCAGAAACACCCACTGCATTCAGCGACACAACACACGTCAAAGGACGGCTCAATCAGCAAAAGATTTCTTATCCGTTCCCTCACCTATGTCCGTGTCGGGCAAGAGACACAGATCGACAGATGCGACGAATGGGCTGTCGAACGGCGTCAGCAGCAGCTGCCGAAGCTGTATAGGGGGATCATCATCGTCCCACCTGCCCGCCATGACGGCGGTGCATCCGTTGGGGGGCTGGTGGGGCGAGTGGTTGAGGAGGCCGTCCAGCACACCGCCATGGTCATGACTGAGGAGACCAGCACATGACAGAGGGAAGAGGCCGTGATGGATGGATGGATGTGTGTTTGCCTGAGTGTCGTGTCCTGCGTACCGGTCAAAGGCAACCCAAGGCGTCCGCCCTTCATTGGCCATCGAAGGCCACATGATGGTCCCCATGATGAACGCCGACGCCGAGGCATCAGTGGTCTCCTCACCACCGGCCGTCCAGCCGCCCCCCTGCCAGCTGATTGTGGATCTGATGGGCGGGTTGTCGTTGATGGCGTGTGGGCGGTATGGGTGGGCGGGGGGGAGGGGGGGGTTGATGTCCAGCTCGAAGCCCGGCTCGTCGCGGAGGGCACGCACACCGCCGCCCGCCTGGTCGAACAGCTCAAAACGGCCCAACTGGCCGCCGAAGTTGACGTGTCTGCCGACCATCTTCCACAATGCGATCACACGCGCATCGGCCAAATACGCCTACACAGACACCACAGACAGACAGACAGACAGACAAACCGATGAGTGCCCCCCGCCCCGCCCCACGCTCATCTGCCCACCTGTTTGCTATCGTGACGCTGCATGTCGGCCACAGCCAGTGTTATCGGCAGCTGACAGTAGCCCCTCGGAGCCGCGAAGCGCAGCGCATTGGCCACCTCAGTCCACTGCTGCGTGTCCACCAGCCAGATGGCCTTCAGCACCAGAGGGCGGTCCAGCTGAGCGTCGAATGCGATGATGGTCTGCAGCCCCCTGGCCACCAGGCAGCGATTGAGTCGGTTGCTCAGGACGGCGGCCGAGAAGTCGACTTCGTAGAGGAAATGGGCTGTGACTCTGAGGCTGCCGACCTCCGACCGGCTGCACACATACACAGATGGCACACCACACCCAAACACACATAGCTGTCAACTGCCTCCCCCTCCCTCATTGATCCGCATTGATTTGTGTGTGGTTTGCATACGTGTGGAGGGCATCTCTGTCGGCTTTGTGGAGGAAGTCGAGTGTGTGGTCGTCGATAACGGCACCATGGCGGTCCGCACTGTGGTTGTTGCCCATCGCCCCCTCTACGCTTCTGCCGGACGGATCAGCTTCACACTCATCCCAATGATGCTATGGATGAAATCAATGGTTTTGATTGTCGAACACTGCAGGAGGCCACTGCCGATTGCACACGCCCACTCTCCGCCCACTTTCCACCCATCTTTTTCATGCGAGCTGCGAGGGCGAGGAGGCCTTCGCTGCGAGCGTCTTTCTTCTCTTTAACCTCCATCGCTCGTTTCTTTCACTGCTTGTGAGAACAATGGGTGAGGCAGATGAGTCGGAAATCTTCCCCCTGGTGCCCGTCAAGTGCGTGGCTGAGGTGCAATGGCCACTTCCCCTCCAGCTGCGGGCAGCCAAGATCATTCTCGGAGCTGCCAAATTTAATGCTGCTGCTGCTGCTGCACATGAGCACGGCCAGGAGGACCCATTCGCCGGGCTGCCCCGCTCCTGCACCGACAGCAGCGCTGCCGAGGGCCGGCTCAGCCTCAATCTGGGCGACTACGAGGGCCTGGAAACACTTATGGAGGCCTTCAAGGGCAATCCGCGTGTGCAGCAACAGTATTCTGAGCTAAGAGTGATCTACACTGGTACGCTCACCGTCGGATGGCTGTTCTTTACATCTCCTTCTTTCCATGGTTTGGTTGCCCTCTCTCTGGGTGTGTGTGTGTGTGTGTGTGT